AAATTATACTCTTTTTGAGTATGAAATTGGAAGAAGACGTGATTTTCTACCGAATAAGTAAAAGAAAGCATATTTTTATGCATGTTTTCCATGAAATATAGTTGAATTTTCAAGGGCATCAAAAATCAATGAGAAAATTCCATGCTACATAAGTAGTCATTTTTTTCAAAGTATAGATGTTGCATGCAGCCGAAAATAAGTTATTTCGAAAGCCGGCACCCTAAAGTAACTGGATCATTATCGATTTATGCTGCATCATGATTAGTTTTATAACACTACTTAATTTATCTTTTCGAAACGAGAACGCATTTCGAAATTTTGGTTGACATTTCAAGAGTTAGCACATCTACTGTAGGTTCGCGAAACTGTCTGCGAGTTTGGCGAATTCTGTTTAGGAGGCAACTGATGGAGATCGACCGTTCTTGTTGTTTGCAAACTTGCAAACATTTGTCACCGAAAACACAAGGGGATATTTTTTCACGGATCGTCATTCTCCTCATTATTTTTAGCAAACAAAATAAAGCCCGTCATCCGCAATTGCCACACATGCCTGGCCCACGCGTACAAGGCGCGACTCCGATCCCTACAGGGTGGGAGTGCCAGAGAGATCACATTTAGAAGGAGTAATTGAAGCCGTACTCTCCATCCTGAGAGGAGGACCAAATTATTCCGTCAACCGACGCAGCCCTCCAACCCCCGGTTTTGAACCCACGATGATGGTTTAGATGTGGATCAGATTTTTTCTAGTGAGGAATATGCGGTGGATGCCATGGAGACACAGACGCCAGAGTCGAATTCACTCTCACAACCCTCTGACAGGTGTCGGCACACTCGCCGAGTCTGTCAGCAATCTGTTGCGGCGATTGGACGCAGGCAGGTCAAACAGCCGCTCACGACCTGTTCCAGAGGGAGTACTTGGCTCGTTAGTACGTATTAAGGAGGAACCACTGAGCCTGTCACACGGTCCACTAGACAAGCACTCCAGACAATCACGCATGAGACCGAACTGCGAGGTCTGAGCCGTATCGTCAACTGGCAACCCTCTGATCGGCGGCGTTTAGCGCGTCGTCACATATTTCGGGGCGTGATAATGGAATCCACCTAATGGATTGGCCGAACCGATCAACAAACTGATGTTTAAATCGGGCGAGTGGCTGACAGAGTCGAAATAGCCCATATGCGTTTGCTATTCACGACCTCGCCCTCAAATTGCATGCAAAAATACAGGCAATTTAAAATTGGAACGGCTTTGGTGTCGAATTCTCGGTAGAATTGCCCCCATTTAAGATAAACATTTTCGTGGAAAGAACTCGAGGTCTCTGCTGTATCCTAAATTGGCAACCTTCTGATCCGCGGCGTTTAAGTGTCGCAACATATTTAAGCGCGTCAGTTTTTATTATTACAAGGAATGCACTGAAATGCCGTGATAATGAAATTCAGCTAATCGATTTGCCGAGCCGACCAACCAACTGATGTTCAAATCGGATGAGCGACTGACAGAATCGAAAGAGCCACACATGAACTGTCCCCAAACTACGTGCAACGTTTTCACACAAAAGTATATCAATATGATATTGGCTAAGACTTCAAAAGGGGTTGGTTGCTAAATTCTCAGCGTTTACATTAAAATTATTAGGAGAAACCCTATAGAGTCATTAGATCGAGTTCCCACACACGTAAACCCTCAGAAATTTCTGCAATATTGCATAGATTTCTAACAGGTGACAGCGGGCCAGAATCACTAAATCAATTCCAAAATAATATCCTAAACTAGGACAGACTGCCCAAAACACAATGTCAAGTTACTTCGCGCAAGGTAGGAAGTTGGTATTTGTTTGCGAAACTTCTGAAGAAATTGACGTATCCCTGACAAGAGAAACGCGATATGTAAATCTCCTATTTTGTATGCTTGGAACTGTCTGTTCATACCTTCTGCAATTTATAAATATAAACTAATGACCGTCGGCGCACAAAATCGATATCTTGAATGCGTCTTCGTCAGCCTGACGAGGGCAAGCGTCTTCAGCTATCCTTCACAGCTTCGGTTCATCTTCAGGTATCTAGGCAATTCTGTTAAGCCAAAATATGGCTGAAGGAGACCATACTCCCCCCACATCCTGTTGAATGAGATTTCGCGATGGAGGCAACACTTCAACTCTGCATGCAAATGATCTTGGAGGGCTAGAGGACTGTGCAAATCAGGCAGGTGTTGTGGCGTTATAAGGCAGGACACTATAAAATGCCTCTATAGAGAATCCCAAAACGTGCACACTGACGGCTTTTCCCCGCAGACATTTCCAACACCATCCGCAAACCATAAATTAGTACGCAGCTTGTGGACAAAAGCTCTGACAGAGGAAAGCACGCGCGGGTGTTCTTCATTCAGACACATGCAACACTTCTACTTCCAGATACGTCAACTACCAGATGAATGAGACTGTCGATACGAAGGCCATTATACAATATAACATGTCGTCATTTATCGTGGACGGATGACTACACGATCAACTTTCCAAGATCCAACGCCATCCATGCAGCAATCCATAGTCATAGTGCCTGTGAACAGGAAGATTTGCGTCGTCGCATTTGACAGGATAGACTTTCTTCAAATAGTCAGACCTTACTAGAAAAGCAGTAAAACTTGTCCAATCGCATTCCGTTAAATCAGTGGCATTCAAAAGTAGTAAAAAGATGTCGCCAATCGAGCACTTACATGAAGTATCATTGGTCAACATCTGGCTTAGCAGTAAACCAAATGTCCTTGCTCCGATTCTCTACACGGAATGAAATGCTGACATCTCATCACCCGTGTTGGATGCTGGCGTGATGGTTGCTCGGTCATCTGGCTCACCGGCTTGCGCGCTCCCGGAGTGGTTAATTAACTTGAACAGCCTATGCCTCAGCACGAAACATGGAGCGGGGATGTCGTTGCACTTGTTGATAGACTGAGGCCCCGTGAACCCTGACTCAAGCAACTCGCGGCTTACGCGATTATCTCCTATTACGAGAATTTCGGCCCCATCAAACTTGAATGTGTGGCCGGGTCTCGTCGAATGGGCCACGACTTGAGAGTTGGCGTCATTCCTCCGTACCGCTGCCGCGTGTTCGGCAATTCGCGTTTGGAGCAGTCTTTCAGTTTCTCCGACGTAGTTGCTTTGTCCGCAACTGTACCAGATCCGATAAACGACTCCAGATGTTTAATGCCGTGGCGGTGGGTCTTTCGGTTTAATCACCTGACGCCTCATGGTGGCCTCCGGTCTGTGTGCAACTGCAACCCCAAGTGGTATAAGAATGCGGCCAACGGCCTCGGAGACCTTCTTGATATACGGGATCGCTCGCCAGAATTTGGGGTCGGCACGGTTTTGTCGCTCGTCTCGCTTGCGCATACACCGGCTGACGAAGTTGCGCGGGTAACCATTTTATCAGAAAACCCGTCGAGCATGTCGGGATTCGGCAACCTTCTCTTCCGCTTCACTGCAGTGCGTCTCAACGCGTCGATTTAGCGTTCTTACGCAACTGCGTTTGTGGCTGATTGTGTGGTTACTGTTGAAGTTCTGCATTTGCGTCATGTTCGTCGCTTTCCTGAACACTTTGGTCTTTAGGCCACCACAATCATTGCGACAGACGAGGACATCAAGGAATGCCAGCTGGTTATTTTCTTCCGACTCCATCGTAAATTGTATGCCCGAGAAGACGCTGTTCTTTGAATGTTAACAGCTGATCACGTTCGATGACGACGAAGGTATCGTCCACATACCGGGCCCAGAATTTCCGCCAGTGGTGTTGAAAGACTAGCGACTACAACCACTGTAGGACCGCATCGGCGATGAATTCCGAAATCGGCGAGCAATTGGTGTTCCCTTCACTTGCTCGTAGATTGTTCCATCAACAGTGAAGTATGTTCTGAGACAGAACTTTAGGAGCTGAAGGTTTTGGGCCTGTCCGAGACGATTCTCCGTGTCATTGTACATGCTTCGTCGGAGAAGCTCGACGGACTTAGACTCGACGACTTCCGGTCTCATCACTATTCATCCATCCTTGATGCGATAAAGAGTGGAGAGAGACGGGGTTTGTGAATGTGGTTCATGAGGGCCTCATTTCCATGTTATACGGACTGAGATTTTAACATCCTAGTCTGGAGAATTATATTGCAATAGTAATACACGACAAGACAGGACTCCTACAAGATTTTTGCAACGGCTCTTTGTGCTACGGCCGATTACGGAACAGAGAATGTGTCCACAGACTGGCGGGTAGTTGTATTAATCGGAGGATAGATCAGGACGGCAGTCCAGAGTGCAGCACCTTGCCGTCTCGCAACGGTCAACGGATGCTTTTTTCGAAATGTTTTCCGCTGTCAAGGAAGAATCAGCGTGAAATAGACAGCAGCATACCTGCGACTATTGTCAACGGAGACTGTGGAACACCACAACAGTTGTCGATAATCCGCCTTCATTAATCTATTCCTTTTCCCATTCGTTATAACTGGGGATTGTCTATGGCCGATCATGTGACAGACTGGAGACCGCCCTCGTTGATGTCCTCGCCGGGAGCCGTAAATAATCTGCCCAATGCCGCGGCCATCAAAGTAATGGGAATAAGTTAACCGTCAAAGTCCCAGAAAAAGGACAAATAGACTGAATAGGCGGAAGAACATTTGGTGACTAGGGGGGCCGTGCAGTGCCAGTGCGGCTACGATTCTTGACTACTGCTCACTAGATCTACACGCGTTCATCAGCATTGCGTTAGGGCTGGAGCTGATAGTCTCATGCGGCGTATAAATCCGGCCCAGACGATGTCACTTTTGAATCCCGTATACAATACCACATGCAGGCCAGTCCTGTCTGACCCGCATACCTACCTCGCTACACACAACCATAATTTACGTTCGCCAGAGGAGCGAGACACTTTCAGTTGAATAGCTAGCTTATGTCATTTACGTGGGTGGTGGATCGAGAAAGGTTTGTTAGTGTGACCGGAATTATCGCGCATCACCTGCCTCAATATAAGGGTGTGTGTATGTGCAGCGGACGGATCAATCCAAATTGCGACTTATCAACGCAATACCGACATGACATCCGTGGCCGTTCTACTTCCCGTCTTTCTCGTATTCGTTGGCCTTGTCTGTTCGGAGGTGCACGAGACGTCAGGCCTGCAAGATGTTTTACAAGAAAGCGGAGTCTATCAAAAAAGTCTCGAAGGAGCTTTGTAGGATCATGTAGTCCAGGAAAGTTCTGTCGGAGGTGATGCTCTAACAGGCGCAAGATTCCGTCCGAGTCCACGTCCGCGTCTGCGTCCACTTCCGCGTCCGCGTCCAATTCCGCGTCCGCGTCCAATTCCGCTTCCGCGTCCAATTCTGCTTCCACTTCCATTTTCGCTTCCGCGTCCAATTCTGCGTCCGCGTCCAATTCCGTTTCCGCGTCCAATTCCGCGTCCGCGTCCACTTCCGCGTCCGCGTCCAATTCCGCGTCCGCGTCCGGTTCCGCTTCCGCGTCCAATTCCGCGTCCTCGTCCACTTCCGCGTCCGCGTCTAACTCCGCTTCCGCGTCCAATTCCGCGTCCGCGTCTAACTCCGCTTCCGCGTCCAATTCCGCGTCCGCGTCCAACTCCGCTTCCGCGTCCAATTCCGCGTCCGCGTCCACGTCCACATCCTCGCGTTTAATCCGTGCAATGCAATTTCCCGGACCCCCTACCCCTCCCTCCCTTATTGATTTCGAAGTCCTTATAATAAATGCTACTTTATTTGCCATTTGAATCTGTTTGCGCATATCGAATGATGCGTTTCGCATTTTCCGAATGGAGTTTCGACTTATGAACACAGTATCACTGAGTAAAATCCTACCATCACTAGTTCCAAGGGCCTGGGGAAGGGGTATGAGACTGAGGCCGAAAGAATCCGTTGATTGAAGTCAAGTGACTTCGGGGAGTTCTTGTCATAGGGGACGTTATAATAGGCGCAAAATATCGTCGTTGTCTACGAAATTGCTCATTTGGGTTTTTGCCTGCCCGTTTGCGTTTGTGTCCAAGTCCTCACATATCTTCTCAGTATCAGTATCAGTATCAGTATATTTCAGGGAAAGTAGGTGTGTACCTTTGAAATCCCTATTGGTTACATGCAGAGGATATATATGGAGGAAATGGAAATGAATAACATGAAAGAAATGCGAGGGGAATAGCAAACACTGTACAGATTAACGCAGAAAGTCATGCGTTAACAGAGTTTAGAGGCAAATTAACTTGCTTTGTTGGTCAAAATACAGCGGACAATTGAGGCACACTTAAGACACGGGAAAAGAATTAAAATTGTTTAGTCTACAGGCATCGTGGTGAATGCGGACAGCGGTGTGCGACGTGGCCCAGGCTTAATAAATAACATAAACATATATTACTTAAATGTTGGTAGTAGCATCGTTATAATGCCGCCTTCGTGGAGAATGTTCATCAGCGTATTCCACTTATGAATGAACAGTTGCTGATAATCCGCCTTCATTAATCTATTCCTTTTCCCCATTCGTTATAACTGGTGATTCGGGATTGTCTGTGGCCGATCATGTGACCGGCTGGAGACCGCCCTCGTTGATGTCCTACCGATATTTTCCTTCGTAGAGTTTACGCACATCACTAGACAGAATTCAGTATAAACGATGGTTTTATCGCATCCAGGATTACCCACGATATCAGCAGCCACAGTTTGGGGCAAATAATTCACACTGATTCTCCTTCTAGCAAGCGTCACTAAACCAAAATGAGTCTGGTGATTTTAAAGGAGGCGCCTTCTTCAATCTGCCCCCTTTTATTACCAAAGTTGACGTGTTATTCGCCATTTCGCAAGTTCTACACGGTTCACTTTTTGTTTACCTGGTTTTATTTTCGAATAAGCCGAAAAATGTTGGCGGCCGCGAATGTCCACTCTTTCGTAAAAAACATGCAGATATAGACATGCATGTACTTGCGTATTTTTTTAAAAATGAAAAGAGAAACTGAATTCATTTAACATGCACTTCATTCAGCGTGACCCATTCATTACTCACGCTACGCAGAAAGCTTAACTGTCTCTTCGGCTTGTTACGGCACTGATCATGCCTGATCCATCCAACCTCGATAATGTCGCGGATCAGGTCTCTCCACGCGATGTGATATTTGGTCACGGTTCTGAAGGGCTTGACCCTCTCTTCTGCGACAATGCACGGGCGGTTGACGCCAGGCGGGCCCAGGACAGTAACACTAAACTAATGCAATGAGAGACGAAAAACGTGCATAAACCAACCCGTAGTCGTCAGTCTTGAATGACCTGAGATATGCTGGTGACCTTGGCTTCTATGCAACGGTGGCCAAACACCTCCAGTCTTTTGCGGTCATTGTGGGCGCAAACCAGCATTCAAAATCGCCCAGGAGAACTGGCCAGACGCATGCCCACTGCATGCAAATATTTGTGTTCGCAGACGTATCGTGTTGCGTCCGTAGGCAACATGCAATCATTTCAAAAACCGTGCAAGGAGCAGGGATTCGCAATAAAAGGCAGTGTTTACTCCACTCATTTGTCAGCAGATTCTTCCTGAAATACTTAGAAATATTCACTCCTCCAGTTGTCGGGAGTGATTTTGTGGACCCATTTTTGTCCCGAGATGCCTAATCTGTCCACTTCCTCAAAGTGACAGCCCTGAAGTCCGAGAAATTTGATTCGGCATGAGAGTAACAACCAGGAAATCCTCTGGCTTTCTCAACGCCGAGAGGCGCTGAAGGGGGATCCCCTCGAGAATACGCTAGGTAGACAGGACAGGCGACAGGGCGTTAGCCTCTCGCATGGCAGACTAAATATCGAATGGTGAGGGCTTGAATTTTGTGTGCCAGACATCGGGACCTGTTAGAAGGATCGCTACTAAACAGCCATTTTAGACGGTGTGCCATCAAAAAGTACTATTCGTCACAGAGGGACGGAATCCCCAGTCACATCGCAGTCGACGAAGCAGACAGCCGTCGGTTAGTGGTAACCAGGACAGAACTTAAGAAGGCGTCGCGCATTTTTCTCCTGTTCGGTAGGCAACTTGGTGGGACTTAACATCAGAGTCAGGCATACTCAGAAGTCTCCCGTGAAGTCCATTTGAGTAATGTTTGTGAGGCTTACGCCACGTTAATGCCGGCATTTTGTCTTATCTTCAGTCTTTATGTCAGGCACAAGGATGACCGAACCGCAGCCTTCGGGAAGTGGTCAATTTTGAGAGAAGCAGGAGGTGTGATCGCCGAAACGGCGATCCCAATCAGCTTACACTTTGGATTCTCACGCGAACTGCTCTTTAGAAACAGAGAGAGGCGTAGGCTGGGGAGAAATTTCGGCAGTGGCTTTTTTGCTTCTGTCGACAATCATCTTTCAACGCTTGTCAAACCACTCCGTGGAGTCACGGTGTCAAGGTCAACACGTGATCTAAGCGATAAGACGACTTATTGTTTCCCTCCGCCTGAGAAGGCAGGTTACGCGAAACCGCATGGTCTAGGGAGGAACAGCATTTCCATGCGGTGGGGACGGGTTGATAATCTAAGATGAGGTGCACAAAATGCTCACGCCAACGCTCGTTCTTGGACAGGTTGTCTGCAATGAAGACGTCATTCGCATCTCAAACAAAGTCACTTAGGACAGAGCAACTACAACTGAATTGGGTAGTAATTTGGTGGGAAATGCTAATGTCAAGGACGCTCAAGTCCTGCCCAATTGTTTCTCTAATCCTAGTTAGCTCACCTGCCATTATTTTTCGGGCTTGGGGGGGGGGAATATTCTTCGTAACACGGAGTCCCAGCTATTCATGCAGACATATGCAAGTTCCTTAAGCTGATTCAGTCATTGTGAAACGAGACTAGAGTCAGTACTCGCGGTCTCGGGAGTGTTGGTCTGCTTTAAATTGACTACATCGAAGCGTCCTCCCAGAACTGTTTTGTGTGTTGATATTAGATGGCAAACGCTGCAGGTTTAGCACCACGTATCCATCTGTTCACACCAACTTGTCTACGAAACCCTGAGCTGACTGGTACGTAGTTGATTTAACCCGCCGCTGGATCAATGCTAGGTCGAAAGTGTTTACGTTAGTGGCATAAACGCGTGTATATGGAAGAAAGTCGCTCATGACCAAGTTTGCTCGTCAATCCTCATCGTGACTTTGGAAATATCAAATGTGATAACTGAGGTGGTTTGTTCAAGATATTACTGATTACGTCGAGGCATCACAGTCTCTGGGAGCACTGGCATATCAGAGTGGTACAGCCATTTAATCAGTTCTTGCTGCTACTCATACGTTTCTCTGCCGTACTGCCTGATAGCTGCTGTGTCTTCAGTCCTATCTAGAAGACGTAGTGTAACATTAACAACGAAATGTATGTAAAGATAGAGTGCGTGGGCATTTGTCAACAGAAAACGGTTTCGAATAAGTTTTTAACTAGATAGTTTATGACAGAGTTTTTAAATGATCCAAAGCATATTCGCAGTTGACTTATGTTGTGAACTTTCACTTTTTGACAGTTAGGTTTCATGGATGGTTAAGTCTTTAAATGCAACCACGAGGACCATCAATGTCGCAGGATTCCCATTTACGGGAAATGCATTCAAAAATTTTTCATTGTGAAGGTTTTAATAAATGCAAATCGTAGGACCATCGATTGAAAGTAGGGAAAGTCTAAAATGTTCACAGAAATCTCATAGACACTGAAATTCAGCGGACGTCATCGTCACCAAAATGTGCACGTAAATTTGACGGAAGCAACGTGCAGAACGGCAGGCCTAAAATTTCATCTGTCGACATGTGACTTTATGGAATCTTGCACCACGGCCAGATAAGCGGTATCAAGTAAAATTAGCCTCGCTTCAATTAACCCCATCTCAATCATTTTATATTTGTAAATTGTGAGTCTATTTATATAACAAGAATTCTCGCATCTTCGACACTTAAGCTTTTCTTCCAATCAAGGAAATAGTACTCGGAATGTTCATTTTGAGTTTTTATTAAATTGAAAGTCGCTCATCGTTAGTTTGATGTTTTGGTAGATTTGTTCGGACTGGTTTCAGACTGACTAATAATGTTTCTTTTATTATGGCATGTTTCATGAGTAAGGTCAACACTGATACAGTGCGTGACCGATCCCATGAAATGTTGGCCATAATTCTGGAATACGTTTCCGATTAGGATGGATTACTTAAGTGGGGTTGTTATTACTGGTTATCACGCAGCATAACCCTATAACATTTCAGACACGCCATGAAGTCGGCTTTTGAATTCACTTTTGACCTCCTGCAGAAGCCATACCCGGTAAAATGTGACTTCTTTATTAACTTCCATTTTTTTATTGATTTTGAATGGCCTTATAAATTACCGTATATTTTATAGAACACATACCCAAAATACGCTTTCTTTTGCTCATTGACTAGGAACTTACGTTGTCGTCATAAATTATGCCCGAAGAAATTGTATATTTAAGTTTTGAAAAAGTATCAGTTGTCAAATTTTTAAGACCGTGTGATGTCCTTGCATGCATTACAGCACATGTCCGTTTACCAATGCTTTTCATGAAATGTACAACACCGTCTGGATCCACTGAAAATTTCATGAAATCTATGTAGTATTTTCTTAAAGACATAAAGGAGTATATGATTTTTCTTACGCGGAAAGCGTGACTTTGTAGACTGAAATTGATAAGCGCTGATGTAATGGCAAATCAGGCTGGCGAGACCGTAATGCTATAGGGCTGTGCTGCATTATAATCAGTATAAAAACCACACTTAAGTAATCCTTCCTAATCGGAAACG